GTGCCACCGCACGTTAAGGACGAGAGTCGATTTGCGCTTCGGATACCTTGGCAAGAAGGCGACGACGACGATCCCAAATCCTCATGACTCCGCCCTCAACCACCACGCTGCGAACCGTTCTCATCCAACCGTCCCAAGTCGATGATGGAGTTCCTCAACGCGATGATGTATTAGACTCGGTGAGCGCCTGTGCTCACCGTGACACGATGGTGAAGATGACGGAGCCGACGCCTTGATCTCCACGCCACGGGGTGAAGATGACGGAGCCGACGCCCTTGATCTCCACGCCGGAGGCATCCCCAAACTTGACGGAGCCTCGGACACTAGAGTCAAGCTTCGGAAGAACTCCGTCGACCGGTCATGTGATGGGTGGCGCCGCCGGTGTCGAGGCACCACCGTCGGGCCTTGTCGCTGCTTGAGCTGCCGTCCGAGGAGGCGTGTGCTTTTGGCTCGCCAAGGTGGAGGAGAGCAGCCGCGGCCGGTGTCGAGATCTCGGGCATGTGCCATGAACAGAGCCGGCTCCTCACTTTGTCTGCGACGGGCTGCCGCGTCGTGGTGCCGACAGCCCTTGGCCCAATGGCTGCCGCCGAGCTTGCGCGGTGTCGCCTCGCGGCTTGCAGGCTCGCCAAGCGCCGCCACAAGCGCCTCGCGGCATCACCCTCGCGTCCTCGCTGACTTCCACTGGCGTCTCTGCGCGCTTGTGCGCCTTTGCCACGCTTATGTCACTGTCGCGGAAGAAGGCTCCCCTTCCTCCGGTCACCTTGGCCGGCAAGCCACCGCTCCCGAGTGAGAAGGAGCTTCCCGCCAGCGGTGATGGGCCCCGAGAGGATCAGGCTCATCGGCCGTCGACGACCTTGAGGCGACCTATCGCCTCCTCGATCGACATCGTGGAGAGATCCAGCAGAGAGACTCGATCGAGCGAGCCATCCGCTTGTAGTTCTCGGGACGCAGCGAAGAGCTTTTCGACGCCTCTCTCCTCTCGCCGTAGGTGTCGCCGCCAAACCGCACCATCTTCTCGCAATAGAGTGTTGAGACGGAGAGCAAAGTCATCAACGCCCTCACCGGCTTGAAGGCCAAGTTCTCCCACCTTGCGGCGTGCTCGTGGTGTGGACTTGGTATGCGGTCATCTGCCGGCCGTCGTGCAGCAATGATGGCGCCCCAAGCCTCCTTGGCGCCCGCTTCTTCGTAAGCGAGAATCGCATCTCGGGTGGGACTGCAGCGATGAGAGCATCCAGCATACCGTCGATCTAGGTCGTAGTCGACGTCGCCGTCACGGACCCGCCTCCCACATGTGCCGCATGATCCGAGCTTTACCTCATCACCGCAGCCCACTCGACGAGTTGGTCTTGGTGAGGTAGGCCACCCACCGCCGGGACCGACGTCCCTCGACAACAAACTGAGCCCGTGGTAACCACGGTCCGATCCGGGAGAGAGCCACGCCTGTGGAAGGCCACGCTCTCCATCGACCCGTCGGTACGATCCGGGAGAGAGAGCCACGCCGCCGTGAAGGCCGCGCTCTCCATCGATCCGTCCGCCACCGCTGTTGCCGTCGCGCCTCCTCCAGAGCGCGCCGCCGCCGCGCGCCTCCTCCAGAGCGCCACCACCGCGCGTCCGCGTCGCGCCGTCTGCCGCCGCCGCGCTGCGTAGCGTCGGCGCCCAGAGAGCGCCACCGCCAGCGCGCCTCCCTCCAGAGCGCGCCAGCCCGGTCGCGTCAAGCGCCGTTCGGGCTGCCCCTTCACTGCGTGGCGTCTTGCGGCCGCCCATCGCGCCCAAGACGCGCCAAGCTGCCTCCCTCTCTAGCAGCTCGAGGTCCGCGTCGGCGGTGTCGTCAGCGGAAATGGAGCTGCTGATGCTGCCGCGCAGAGCCTCGACCTCCAGCGCCACACAGCACGCGCATCCGCATCCGCCGCCGCTGCTGCTCCCGCTCACAGCTCGCTACGCCTCCGCCATGCGCACTGACGCCTGCCGCCAGCCAGCTGGCGTCTCTCTGCTGCCATCTGCTCTCGTTCCTCAAGCAAAGTTCGGCCTCCCGCCGACGCCAAGCGTGCTCGAGGCGACCGAGCGCAGAGACGGCCCTCAGACATGGCGGCGCTACACGGGGCTGCTGCGCGTGGGGAGAGGGCTGCAGACGAAGCCGCTCATCTCACTGCAGAGGGAGAGGAGGAGCAGGAGCGACCGAGCGAGCTGCTACTCTCACTCAAGGGCTGCTATGAGGTCAAGCAAGGGATGAGCAGGAGATGCTCAGCTCACAGGATACTACTGGCTCTGATACCACTTGTTAGTCGCTAAATTCTCACTCTTGGTAGTAGGAGAATTCTTACTCTCATCGAGAGAGGATGACACTAGGAGTTGGGGCAATTTTCTTGTCTATTTCTTACTCAAATGGCATGCCAACCTTGAGGGGTTGGGGTTACATATTTATAGGTCGCTAGCCATGAAGCATATGCCAAGATGCTAGTCTAAGATGCTAGTCTAAGATGCTAATATGCTGTCCTAGCTAAGATGTCATCCTCTAGTCTAAGATGTCGTCCTCTAAGATGTCATCATCCGTCCTCTAGTCTAAGATGCTGTCCTAAAAGCAGAAAAACAGCCACAAGGACCATGTGAGCAGTACAGCCCCACAAAGACCACACATGAGACTTATCCATCAAGCTGTGGACGCGCCAAGTCCAGTAGCTGTGGCGGCACCGACTGAACCGCCAAGTCCGACCGTGGAGGGCGTAGGCGAGCAGTCTCCACCAACAGTTGCGCACAAGCCTCCACCACAGTTCCCTGCTGCGGCAAAACAGGGGACACCTCCGGTCGAGTTCACCTCTCCTCCGAGCGACATCGATGAGTACGTGGACACCTTCCACGACAGCGAGGAGGTGCACTTCGGCACTCTGGACAACCTCGTCGGCGACTCGACTGCGCCAGGCTTGGCAAGCAGGCTACTCGGCAATCAAGTGCTGCTCTGCGTCAACGCAAGCCGAGCGCGATGCAAATTGGCGGCGGGCAATGTTGGAGAAGATGGAAGGCCATTGAGAACAATGAGACGTGGGAACTCGTTGATCCACCTCCAGGCTACCGGCCGATCGGGCTGAAGTGAGTGTACAAGGTGAAGCGGGACGAGCGCGGCGCCATCATCAAACACAAGGCGCGTCTCGTAGCCCGCGGCTTCATCCAGCGCAACGGCATCGACTTCGAGGAAGCCTTTGCGCCGGTGGCCCACATGGAGTCGGTCCGCCTGCTGCTGGCCTGGCAGCAACGAAGGACTTGCATGTTTGTCACTTAGACATCAAGTCGGCCTTCTTCAACGGCAAGCTGGCGGAGACAGTCTTCGTCAAGCAAGCTCCAGGCTTCGCCGTCAAGGGAGCAGAACACAAGGTGCTACGGCTGCACAAGGCGCTCTACGGGCTGCGGCAAGCCCCGCAGGCGTGGAATGCCAAGCTCGACGCCACGTTGCGTGCGCTTGGGTTCACAGGCTGCACAACAAAGCACGCGCTCTACACAAGGCAATGGGGGAAGGAGCTCGTCGGCGGCGTGTATGCGGACAACCTCTTCGTCACCGTATAGCGCGCCGAGGACATCGAAGGCTTCAAGCGCGAGATGGCGGCTCGGTTCCGCATGAGCTACCTCGGCCAGCTCTCCTACTGCCCCGGCATCGAGGTGAAGCAGGGGAGCGACTCCATCTCCCTAGGACAGCGCGCCAACGCGGAGAAGCTGCTGGAGCGCGGCAACATGGCGGACTGCAAGCCCGTGCGCAACTCCGATGGAGGAAAGGCTAAAGCTGTCAATGCACAGCACCACGGCGAAGGTGGACGCGACGCGCTATCGGAGCATCGTCGGCGGGCTGCGCTATCTGACTCATACCAGGCCGGACATAACGTTCGCAGTCGGGTATGTCAGGTGGTTCATGAAGGATACCCACAAGGATCATTGGATTGCAGTGAAGCGGCTGTTGCGCTACGTCAAGGGGACGGTGGATCAGGGGATCGTCTTCCCCAAGATCGGCGGCGAAGGTGGGCTGCGGCTCACAGTCTTCAGCGATGCACTCCCCAAGACCAAAGACGGAGGTGGGCTGCGGCTCACAGTCTTCAGCGATTCTGACATGGCAGGTGACAATGATGGACGGCGGAGCACCTCTGGCGTGCTCATCTTCCTTTGTTCGGCCCTAATTCAGTCACTGAAGCAAAAGGTGGTGACATTGTCTACGTGCGAAGCAGAGTACGTCGCGGAGGCCACAGCGGCGTGCTAGGCTGCGTCGGCTGCTAGGTGAGCTGACCAACGAGGAAGCTCGTCCGCCAACTCTGATGGTGGACAATCAGCCCGCCATCGCCCTTGCCAAGAACCTTGTCCTCCACAACCGGAGCAAGCACATCGACGTCAAGTTTCATTTCCTACGGGATTGCGTCGATGGAGAACAGATCATCCTCGAGTTCGTCAAGACCGGTGGACAGCTCGCGGACATCCTCACCAAGCCACTCAAGCGCCTTCAAGATTGGCATGGTGGAGCTCAAAACCAAGGAGTAGAGGCAGCAGAATTAGGGGAAGATTTGTCAGATAATCTGCTGCTCTCCCCTTACTTTTAAAGCACACAGTGCACATCCAGTAGCAGCAGCTGCACACACTTACTTTTAAAGCATACAGTGCACATCCAGTAGTAGCAGCTGCACTCTGCTGCACACTTACTTTTAAAGCACACAGTGCACATCCCACTTTTAAAGTGCACAGTAGTAGTACCAGGTCCTTTGATTAAAGTTGTATAAATCAGGTTGTTTAGCAAATGAAAAGGCAGTTCAGTTTGCCACAATTCAGAGCAGCTTTGCTGCTGCTCGTGCTGTGCTCGTGTGCTCTCTGTTTTCTCACCCTTTCTTCAACCTCCAGCCGTGAGTGTGTGTGTGTGGGGTGCTGGTAAGCTAGCTGCTTACCTGTGCAGGGAGATCCAGGGCCAACAATGTTCTCGGCAGTCTACATAACATAGTTACATACAGGGACAATTTCTATATATTAAAACTTACCTTCATTGCATTCTCAAGCTTATCAAGGAGACTGATGATCTTCTGAACTTCTGTATCAGCACCAAGCCCAGGATCTTTTAAAGCTGCAACTTCAAATCCACGAAGGGCCCTTTCGTAATTCTCTAAATATTTGTCAGCCTAAGAGGAACGCGGTTGAAATCACAAGCAAATAATTATTGCACTTAGTAGGTTTGGGTATCTAAGAAATTGCTATTTTTTAAGACAAACTAAAAAAACTTATAAATAACTATGCCTATCTTGTTTCCAAATCAAAATCCTTTTTCACATGTACAGTGGCAGGCAGCACTAATTTGCGATGCCACTGGGTAGCATGGCCATACAAAAAAAAAAAAAAATGGAGTTTATTTAAAAGATCCTGGGTGGCGGGCAGCACTAGTTTATTAACCTTTTTATTTTTAAATAAACTTGGTGTGTCTTTGATCTCCAAATTTAGCTAGAGCTTTATTGCTCGCTAAAGAGGAGCTGCTGGACTGGTCTTTGGCTGGGGCTAAAGGAGTTCCCCATCTCACTGCCATTGTGCTGGTTGGGGAACAGTAGCAGGCTTAGGCTTTGTCGGGTCGTGTTTGTCTTTTGTCATCGGCGATCTATGCAACCTTTTGTGAAGTAACGTGTAAAATTAGGCACAAGGAAATAGTAGTTTGATTATAGGAGATGTGGTGTTACACATATATAGGCAAGGATGGCCGAGGGTTTATAGAAACAGAACCAATCAGCGGAGATCCTTGCCAAATAGAGATCAATCTATCTATCCTAGCCATATAGGCACTAGGCCCAAATATAGACGTGCAGGCCCAATGAGGGGCTGCCGTACCCTTTGTCTAACACGCCCCCACAGTCGAAGCAGCAGCTCTGCGAACGTTGAGACTGGATCTGAACTCGGTAAAGACGGAACTTGGAAGCCCTTTGGTGAATATGTCAGCGAACTGCGACGTTGTGGGAACGTGCAGAACCTTGGAGTCACCTAGCGCTACACGCTCATGGACAAAGTGGAGATCAATCTCAACGTCCTTGGTGCGCTGGTGCTGAATGGGATTGGTGGACATAAGCAAAAAAGTTAAAAAGGTGTCAGACTTAGAAACGTCCAAACATAATGACAGCAATCAACAAGAATGACCAGGTAATATTTGTATCCAGAAATGCTGGCTAAGGGAGAAGTCCACAAATCACAATGAACCAGATCAAAATTATGTGTTGCCCGTGACATAGATATATGAAAAGGAAGACGAGTATGGCGACCAAGTTGACACACATGACAGACTGAATTGGTGTCTTTATTACAATGCGGAATTAAGGAAGCACGCATAAGACTTGGAGAGAGCGTACGGGCTAGGATGTCCGACACGGTGGTGCCACAAGGACGTGGAGGCGGAGGGCATGAAGGGCACCAGCAGCAGGAAGGCGCAACGGGTAAAGGGGCCCGAAGCTATTGCACCTAATGATCTCGTTCCGAGACTGAACTGTAGAGAGATAGGGAAACACCTCACACCCTCTCAGGGGGGTGACTTTTCATATATATAGCCCAATGGGTTGTGGGTATAACATGTCCAAATACAACGTATACAGGACTAGACTATACATGTCTAATACCCGCCCGCAGTCAAAGCGGGAGGATCTTGGACGCAAAGACTGGACCTAAAGTCAATGAACAACTGTATAGGTAAGCCCTTGGTCATGATGTCCGCGAACTGATGACTCGACGGGACATGGAGCACCCGAACCTGTCCCAAGGCAACCTGGTCACGGACGAAGTGAATGTCGATCTCGATGTGCTTCGTGCGACGATGGTGGACAGGATTAGCGATCATATAGACGGCGCTAACATTGTCACAGTATACAACGGTCGCAGAGGCAATGGATGCGTAGAGCTCCTGTAGAAGCTGACAAAGCCAACAGCACTTGGCCACGGCGTGGACAACCGCGCGGTACTCAGCCCCAGCACTAGAGCGGGACACCGTCGTCTAGCGCTTGGAGGACCAAGAGACCAGGTTGTCGCCGAGGAAAACGCAGTAGCCGGACGTAGAGCGCCTAGAGTCTAGACAGACTGCCCAGTCCGCGTTGGAGTATGCGGTGGGGGAGTCAACCGGCCCGGCCCTTCACATAGTGCAGAATGCGCTTGATCAACGTGAAATGGGGCTCGCGAGGATCGTGCATGAAGAGGCACAACTGCTGGACCGCGTAGGCGAGCTCGGGACGGGTGAGCGTCAGGTACTGTAGGGCGCCGGCGAGACTCCGGTACTAAGACGGATCGGCGACCGGAGCTCCGTCGGTGGCGGAGAACTTGGCACGAGTGTCAACTGGTGTGGAGGTAGAGTGACACTCGGCCATGCCCGCCCGCTGTAGAAGATCCACAGCGTACTGGCGCTGGGAGAGGAAGAGACCCTCTGGCGAGCGCGTGACGGCGATGCCGAGGAAGTGGTACAGGTCGCCAAGCTCCGTCATGGCGAACTCGGAGTGGAGACGCGCCATGATGCACTGCAGGAGGTCAGTCGATGATGTTGTGAGGATGATGCCGTAGACGTATAGGAGCAGGTAGGATGTAGCGTCCCCCTCTGAGCACAAAGAGAGACGTGTCGGAGACGGAGGCGACAAAGCCGAGGAGCCTGAGGTAGGCGGCGAACCGCTGGTACCAGGCCCGAGGAGCCTGTTTCAGGCCGCCGTTCCAGCCCGGCTTGCCCTTGCCCTTGCCCTTGCCGCCACCGCCGCTTTTGTGCCCGCCCAGACCATTGCTCCTCACTGTCGTAGCCGGGGGAGTGATCAGAGTGGCCGCCGCCAGAGGCGCCGTGCAGCCAGAGCCGCCACCACGCGAGGAGGGGCGGTGTTGGCGACGGTCTTCTCATCGTTGGCCAAGCCGAGCTCCTTAAGAACCAGCATGTCGTGGGCTCTAACGAACGTGGGAAGAACGGCGGAGTTGGCGATGTCGTCGCGGTGGTGGAGAAGCGAGGGTTGAGGCCGCACAGTAGGGCAAGGACGAGCTACGAGTCCTGCACAGGAAGGCCGACGTCACGAAGAGCGGCGGCCTTGGTCTTTAGGCGCTGGTAGTACGCCGAGATGGTGGAGTCGCCTTGCACCATGGAGTGGAACTCGTTGACGAGGAAGATGGCGCGCGGCTCCTTGTTGGCGTGGAAGATCCGCTCGATGGCCGCCCAGAGATCGCGGGCAGTAGCATCGGCCTCATCCATGGCGAGATCGAGGATGGAGTCATCGACGGAGCCGAGGATCCAGCCGCGAACGCAGCACTCTGCGGCGTCCCACTAGGGGTCATTGGGTTGAGGAGGAGCGGAGCCGTCGATGTGCGAGCAAAGACCAAACTTGCTGCACAGCGATTTGAAGAAGAACGCCCACTTCGAGTAATTGGAGGTCAGCTCCAACGTGAAGGGGACGTGGGATTTCACGTTGACCGTGGCGTAGGGATGATCCACGATCGGTGGGGCAAGACCGGCGCCCTGGGCAGCCATGGTGCCGTCGCCAGTGACCGAGAGGGTGCCGTTTCCGGTGGCTGGCAGGGAGTCGAGGCCGGTTGCAGGCGCGGTGCTGCCCATCGGGAGGAGGGGAGAGGGAGGCCAAGCCACCGGTGAGAGTGGACGCGACGTGAGGAAACACACGCGGTGGGTTGGGGCGGCGGCGAGGGAGCGCGAGGGAGTCACTAACGACAAAGGAGAAGGTCGCGATCGGAAAAGGAGCGGAAAAAGATAATCTAATTGGCTGATACCATATAGATAGATAGGGAAACACCTCACACCCTCTTAGGGGGTGACCTTTCATATATATAGCCCAATGGGCTAGGGGTACATGTCCAAATACAACGTATACAGGACTAGACTATACATGTCTAATATGAACATCCTTCACAGAACAAGGGTCAAATTGCACAGAGCAATTATTATCAAACGGAAATAAGGTTCTTAATATGTTTTAGAGATACAAGAACATGACTAAGATGAAGGTGACCCGAGAGGGTTGTTGCGCCAGGAAGAAGAGAACTGTTACGACAACGATCTAAGAGGGGACAAGGTACCAGGGAGGAGAGGTGTGTGAAAGAGTACCAGCGTCGGAAATCATGTGCGGGGTGGCCCCTGAATCGAAGTACTAGTCTAGTTGTGGTTGTTGTTGCAACATCATGGTGTTGAAGGAGCGAGCGAGGTTCGCCTGATTCCATCCTGGGGCGGCCCAAGGATTGAACCCCGGGGATGGAGACGGCACCGACGCCTAGGCGTTCTGCGCACCAGCAAGGAGAGCGTGTGGAGGTGTCGACTGCTAGAAGTGTGCCTGGGCAGGAGCCTACTGGGGGGGTCCGGTGGGGATGGGCGCAAGAGGAAGACGAGGTCCATACATCTGTATGGAGCCAGTCCATGGGTGGAGTAGGAGGGCCAGGGCACGCCAACCCTGGGGGCGCCGCCCTGTCCACCGTTTGGGCGCAGCAGTGGGCTGTCCACCACGTTTGCCCCACCGAGTATTGGGAGGAACGCCCCCGGAACCGGCGGGTTCCGACTCCCGAGGATGGTGGAGGCGGCTCCTGACAATGTGGAGGCATCGGAGGAGCACAAGGTGAGCTGGCAGCCACCAGGGCAGTGGAGGGTGTGGTCAAGCGATGCGCGTGGGGGAGAGACTACCGCGCTGAAGGTAAAGACCGATGGAGGCGAACTTCTCGTTGAGGCCACGGATCATGGTGAGGACGAGGGTGTGGTCGAGGACGTGCTCGCGAAGGTCCTCGAGGGCGTCAGCCATGCCCTAGAGGCACCGCCAGTAGTCGGTGATGGAGAGGTCCCCCTGGGCGAAAGTCCGAAACTCAGCGATCGAGGTGGAGGGCGCACATCTCCACATTCCCTAGGAACCGTGACTCCACGGACAGCCACACCGAGCGAACGGAGGAGCGAGAACAGGGCACCATGTCGGACAGCTCGAGGGAGATGGTGCCGTATAGCCAAGACTTGACCACGCAGGGTCGTCTTGAAGGACATGGTCCTCGAGGGCGAACTTCCCCAAGGCGAGGAGGAACAGCTCGCGTCACCTCATGTACTGGCTAGAGGAGAGCTCGAGGACGACTGGCACTAGAGTGCGGGTGTTATGGACGCCGACGGCCTAAAGGGGAGGTTGGCAAGGACCGTGGCTTCATGAAGCAGAACATCGTGGAGGGAGTGCGGAGGGCCACTAGGGGGCGGGGGTGGGCGGCACACCTCATACCACGCTCATGCTGATGGCGGCAACAAAGACGCCGCCCCACCACATCGATCATCACCACACCACCCACAAGACAGCAGACAACGCAACACGCTTGCGCTTAGCAACAAGACAAGACTCACTCGTCGTAGAGAGAGAAGGCGTCGGCCAATGATGACGACGACCGTGAGGAGGATATGGTGCAGGGGTGCGCCTAGGCAGCGGAAGAAGGGCCAAGAGAAACCCGGGCGAATGATACCATGTAAGATTAGGCACAAGGAAATAGTAGATTGATTATAGGAGATGTGGTGTTACACATATATAGGCAAGGATCGCCGAGGGTTTATAGAAACAGAACCAATCAGCGGAGATCCTTGCCTAATAGGGATCAATCTATCTATCCTAGCCATAATAGGCCCAAATATAGACGTGCAGGTCCAGTGAGGGGCTGCCATACCCTCTATCTAACATAAAGTATGCTGAACTGTGTTTTTGTTTTTGTGGTGTGTTGTGTGTTGTAAGGGTTCTCGCCCATTTTTCTTCTTAATGCAAAGAAACGCAGCTCTCCTGCATTTTCGAGAGAAAAAAAACAAACAAAACTAATTTAGCTTGTTCCGAAGCCACTGAATTTGTCTAGAACACTCACTGTGGCACAATTATAGTAGAGGTCTGGATTTAAATTCATAGTTTTATCCTTCTCCTGCACATAAAACGAACACAAGATCAACAGTAGAAATGAGGCACAGAAAAATGACAGAAATCTACAAATGAAAGGTTATATGTCACACTTCTTAATAAGTTTAACCAGAGACAAACAAAAGGTACAAAATGCCAACTTACAGCATTTTGATATGCTTTCACTGAATGATGAAGCTTAGTGTGATCCCAGGCTCCTCCCACAAAGAAGCTAGTGAGATAAGCATTTCCCAGATTATCTGAAGTTAAAAGGGCATATTAACAGCCTTTGTTAAAGGAATATTTGCCTAAGTCGCTGATTAAATTGCACTCCCAGTTGTGCTGCTGCTTAGCCAAATGAACTTTGGCAAAGTTAAGGAATATGAGAAAATATTGCATGTTTAAACTCAAATGGTTGCATTTGAATGTGCATGGATCCCAATAGGGCATTGGTTTTGGTTATGCGTCCATACAACTTGAAAATGGGCCTAAAGAAGTAGGAATCCCTTCATGCAAGATTCAAGGTAGATAATACAACCAAACCATACAATCAAAGCATCTATTTTCCAGTGCAATGTCGTAACAAGAAAGTAAGAATGCAGCAATGTTAAACAACATGTGCTACAAGAATACTAGACTGCAGACATGGTTATGGACTCCTATATAACAAGTGTGAACTATGTACTGAAACAGAACCTCTACAGCTAAATTTAAGTAAAAGAACTCTTACACCAAGAATTGCCATCTCTAATGTCCAGCATAATAGCTTCTTTTGCGTGCTTAATGCTCTCTTCTACTAAAAGCGCCTGGTCTGCACTACCTGAAAAACAAGAACACAAAAAAGGAAACAACTAACTCAGAAATCTTCATTTGAAAAAAAAATGATGTGTTTTTATTAAGACCATAGGTGCGAAATTAACATTGGAGAGCTATTATTGATATAGCAGCAGCTCAGCACTAAAGTACAAACGAGAGCTTTCTGCAGCAGTGCCCTTCAAAAAACGGTCATTTGAGCATCAGGGAGGCAAAATATATAAACTGAAGCCCATGTGCTACATATAGATTTCAAAAATTGGTTCAGGTTAAAACTCTGTCCAAAAGTAAGCCAAACTCAGTCCATTTTGACCTCAAAATCAATTCAACCAGAAAATTAAGCTATCGTACCGAGGAAGACATTTAAAAAAAATTGTCAAATCTCCATCAATTTGATGGATTTTTATGATGGCAATTGAAGTGTTGAAGCATGTCTACATTTGCATACAGTTATCAAGCTCATTCAACCCCAAGCTCAAAGCACATCGAAGCTTGACTTGGTCATTAAGGCAAGCATACAATTCAAGCTGAGTTTAGTGCACAAAAAGTATGCAACCTGCACTTTTGCAGAGGTCACTTAAACGATGTCTCATCAATCAACAATATATTATTCATTAGAGTCATTAAAGGTGTAACACGTCCGATAGCACGCGCCCAGGCCCGAGCCAGCAGGCCAGCCGCGGCCCAAGGAGGGGGCGCGCGCCTAGGGGCAGCGGCGCAACCTCTGTGTCTCCCGCCGCCCGGAAGGAATTAGAGGCATAAGATAGGAATAAGGAATAAATTAGGAAAACTAGAGTTTGGATTGATTAGGAAAGGAGAATCCAATCTATAAGGATATCTCTCTTAGTTGCTTGGAATACAAGTCCTATAGGGACTATAAATATAGGGAGGATGTAATCAATCTAATCAAGCAAGAATAGAGCTATCGCTCCTTCCTCTCTCTTTCCTCCTCCTCCGCCTCCCTCTTCCTCTCCCTGCGCCGCCCCCTCTCCCCCACGCACTAAACCCTAGCCGCCACCTCCATAGCCGCCGCCAGCCCCCTGCCCCATCACGCCTCTTACAAAAGGTGTTACTAAAATGTTTGTATTCATAGAAGGGTGCCATTCCATGAAAAAATGTGTATGTTTTCACAAACATCCAGCTTTCCATAAGAATTTTGGGATATTAATATTATTATTATTTTAAAATTGAGTATGATCAGATGGTTACAGTTTAGAGGAGATGCTGGCATAACGTGGATGCTGCATGACATATCACTTTTAGCATAAAGGACAAGAATAAACCAGGCCTTGCAGATGTTGCTCTTAAGCTCAGTTGAAACAGCTGCATCCTTTGAAATGTATTGTTTTATTGAGAACTAGAAGTTGCTTGAGCTTAGAAAACAAGACAGAAATACAAGCATGATTAATACATCAATATGTTTAAGATTTGACATAATAATTGGTTATAAGATATAGACGCCGCAGAGAGAATCAACTGTGCAAAATTTATTAGAATGCGAACTATTTATATATATAGGGACATCCTCACCTTGAGCCATACTTCTTTCAAGCATGGAGATCTGGCACAGTATTTTCTTATCTGAACCCTGCCAGACAAAAATATGCTGGATACTTCAGAAATATTGAAAAGCATACTTGGAAGTTGGAACTACTTACAGGTTAACATTTACCTTTCCTAGTGCTAATGAAAAGCAATTCTTTGCTGCAGATAGATCCCCCTTCTTCCAAATGCAATTACCCAAACATAACCATGCATCTACAAGAGATGGATTCAGCTTTACCTAATACATATAGTAGCAACAGAAAATGTTTAATTTCTTATCAGAGTAATTGTATACAAAGAGATGTTTAGTCCCTGCTACATACTGCTTTGGATAAATGATCTTCAGCCTCCTTATGATAGTCAGGAAAGACATCCAGTATTTTTCCCCTCAAAAATTCATAAACACCACGCAGTTGTGGAGACTTCTTTTGTTCTGAAAGTACAAGAAAAAAAGAATGATTAAGGACATGGTATGAAATAATTTGATAAAGCACAAACCATCATAGACTCATAGGCCAGCATCAAGAACAATTGTTCAAGCATATGGAAGCTGTTAGGAATTAGGCACGCCGAAACAGAGGGATGTGGTATTCTTCAAACTAATAACTTTATCATCTCTTCTCATACACACATGCAGCTCAAGGCTATTTGAAGCTAGCACAACACTGTTTCTAGCTTCTAACTAGCTTCAATCTACATAGAGCTCAAGGCTATCTGAAGCTAGCAACTCTTACAATCTAATTTACTAACTTACCTACAAAGGAGCTCAGCATGATATAGGCCATTTGGGTCAGTTTGCTACAGTAGCTGACATTGTTATAGTAACCAACCTTACATGTACAGCACACGTTACACAGAATGCCAGCTAATACTCAATTTCTATTTTACTACTTCCTTTTGCTAAACTTCATAGATCTGTCCTTCGATTCCAATAGCTTTTAGTAGTATCTGTAAGATAATCTGCTGCACTCTCTTGATGTTTTGCTGCAGGAGGAAGTTGGCAATAGGTCATTTCCTTGCTGTCCATCTATCTATCTCTACTACTGTAGAAGTATGACAATAGGTGACTTAGTCATGGCTGATGTAAGCCAAGGTACAGGTACTAGTGTACATCTTAAGTTGGTGAACTACCACCACTAGTTGTATATACACCAAGGAATCGAATGGAGAGAACAGTTTCAGTTGCTGCACTTGTGTGTGTGCTATGTCTGTGCTCACCCCCCCCCCTCTCTCTCTCTTCTACCTCCAGCCGAGTGTGGGTGCGTGCGTGCGTGTGTGTGTGTTAGTGGTATTAGAGCCACGGTGATCGCCAGCGATGCCGAGTGGTGCAAGCGACAACAGGGACAGGACTCCACCCGCTTCCTCGCCGTGGCACTCCCGGTCACCCAGTGATGGGAGATGGTGGTGCAGCGGACTGTCAAGGAAGTGGGCGGCGCAAATTGGCCAGTCCTCACCAATGATTTCAAGTCGTCCGATTAATCGCGATTAATCGTGATTAATCGTCAATCGGTCCGCTCGATTAGGTACCTCGACCCGATTAGCTCGATTAGGGGCACGGTCGTCACTAATCGCGATTAGTCGTCCGGATTAGGGGTGGGACGACTAGTTTTGGCTGTTTTTTTTTGTTGCTTGGGCGTGATGGGAAAATTTCATGGTGGTGCAGCGGATCGCACCAAGGAAGTGGCGCCGCCTGCATTGCTGCCTGGGCCTCTCCTCACCAGTCCGCCCACACCACCTTCAGATCTCGCTCCGGCGTGTGGGCTCACTCGCCCTGCTGCTCCATGGGTGGTCGGGCGCTGACTCTGCGCTTCGCCCTCTCTCAGTCCTGCGGTGCACAGTGCGCTCAGTGTGTCTGCTCCCGCCTTTGATCTCCTCCGAGGCTGCCAAATGAGGGCAACAACGATCTATTCCCGCCACAACCTCCCTGCCAGGATAATCCTTCCTCATCCCTGCTCCTGGAGGATCTCTACAAAGGAAGGCAAGAAAACAACTCCCACAAGTAAGTCACTTACCAAACACTAATGTAGTCTTGATGCTTGCTATATTGTGTACACTATATAGTACATATAGGTATATATATAGTATGTATATGTCCCGATGCATAGGAAGATTATATGGACGGATCAGAGGAGAGGCTCGACTTAATCGGCACAGTCGGCGACTAATCACGATTATTAGGTCGGTCCTATAGCGACTAGGTTCGACTAGACGACCTGAAAACATTGGTCCTCACCCACACCAACTACGGCGAGTGGGCGGCGCTGATGAAGGTGATGCTGAAGGTGAGGAAGCTGCCCAGCGAGGCAAACAACCAGTAGACTACCAAGCAGAGGATAATTTATGTGGAGGACTGGAGGAACCAGTAGATACCAAACAGAGGAGGATCTATGCGTTGAGTAGAGGAGGAAGAAGGGAGGGATCAGAGGAGAGAGGAGCAGGGGAGGGTGGAGGCAGGGAGCTGAGGAGAGAGGAGCAGGGGAGGCCAGAGGCAGAGAGCAGAGGATGAAGGAGCAAGGGAGGGCGGACCTTACATTGAGGCTCAGGGTCACAACGGCCGACGGTGAGGAAGCAGCTCCGGAGGCACGGGCAGCAGGAAGGAAGCTGCCAGGTGAGAAACAGTTTCACGGTCGGTAGGCAGCTGGAGGAGCGAGAGCGGGACTCGCCGGCCCTCCCTCCCTCCCTCTCCCTCTCTCTGGCCTCCTTATCCTTCCCGTGTGGCCACTTGCTTTTCACGTGTTCCCGCCCGCCCCCGCGTGCTCTCTGGCCTGCCAAAAAAGAGCCCCCGCGCACACGCTCCTGCTTCAGCGGCGCCTTGTCCACCTTCTCACCGCTCATGTGCCGCGGAAGCGCCGCCTAATGCCACGGAGGCGCAGCCACAGCCTTGAGGCCCTCCTACCCCCCTGGTCGCCGTGGTACACCTCCGCCCAGCGCCTACACGGGCTGGCCGGATCCCAACAGTATCAAGGACCTCTTAACTACCAAAACTCAATTTGCTTTGACTTGCATCTTTCCAACTCATACTTGAGTCCAGTTTCTCTCCCTCCCTCCCTCCCTCCCTCTGGCCTCCTTATCCTTCCCGCGTGGCCACTTGCTTTTCGCGTGTTCCCGCCCGCCCCCGCGTGCTCTCTGGCCTGCCAAAAAAGAGCCCCCGCGCACACGCTCCTGCTTCGGCGGCGCCTCGTCCACCTTCTCACCGCTCATGCGCCGCGGAAGCACCACCTAATGCCGCGGAGGCGCAGCCACCGCCTTGAGGCGCTCCTACCCCCTGGTCACCGTAGTACATCTCCGCCCAGCGCCTACACAGGCTGGCCAAATCCCAACAGTATCAAGGACCTCTTAACTACCAAAACTCAATTTGCTTTTGACTTGCATCTTTCCAACTCATACTTGAGTCCAGTTTCACTTCTTCCTTTTTCTGTCACAAATTTCATGACTTTAGACTTTGCTAGAAGCTTCAAGGATCAACTAGTTTTTTTTTCCATCTCAAGAAAATAAATTAATTCGAACAGAAGCAGCAAGAAAAAATTAATCCTGAAGCAGTTTGACTTACATCTAACTCAGAAATAGAAATGATAAATCTAGCATTTGCATATAGAAAAGATGATGATGCTACCAAATACAGCACCATCGCGTATGTTCAGCAAACAGAGGAACAACATTAGTCTTGTTCCTCTTCTATGTTGTGAACACCCAAATTTTCTGCAACATGCTAGTTCAGCAAACAAAGGAACAACATTGGTTTTGTTCCTCTTCCATGGTGTGAACACCCATTTTTTCTGTAACATGCCAGGTTCCTGGTACAATCATCAAGTTTTAACATAAAAACAGAGCTTATGTTCAGAAAACAAAGGAATAAATTGGCTTTGTTTTGCTTCCTCACATCATACAAATAAGGGCACCAGCAACACAAGCAACAGTTAATGTTAGCCCCATCTGTCAGTCATTTAAAGCCAATGTTCTCTCAACGCAGCTAGTATTTCTTACTGGTCCCCTCCACTCCCTCTTCTCTCAAATTGATTTCACCGAGTATGTACATGGGCACAACTGACTGGCGCGTTGCCTTGCCTGGGAGTGGTCCTGGAGAGAAGCGATGTCAGGATGGGGCATCTGTTCGATGCAACGCTCTCTTCAGCTACTGCCTCGTTCTTTTGTCAACTGAGGACACCGCCTCTTCTGCAAGCATACCTGACACACTGCAAGGCTACCAAAGGATATGACATGGACACCAAACGCAGATGTGGCACTTGGGGCAGCACGCCAGGGTGGAGTGTTGGTGAAGGCCTAAGTAGCTTCTCCACTCATGCACAAGATGAAGTCCACAATAACCACTATGCAAACACCCAACAACTATACAGATGTTCAATAGATACATAGACTAGCCACCAAGCTCAAAAGACCCAGGGGGCAGGCCTTCAGCATCAAATCCAGCAGACTAAATCCTAATTCTAACATTGCTATCAAGAGCGTGCTTCTCTACAGTCAAAATGACGAATTAGCATTTCCAAATTCCATTTTACTGGACTAGCATCATCGAGTTGGGGACAAACCAACGGAGATTGTAAGTGGTCAGTGTTAGTAATCGAATTAGTGGCTGGCAATCCGCACCGGCTTCACTACTACCCAGTGTGGTACTAACTGAATCAGATGCAAGAAAACAAAGGATAGTGGCAGTTGGGAAGATAGAGGACGACGCGTACCGGACGGGAGGGCGTCGAGGAGGGCGAGGGCGGCGTCGGCGCGGGCAAGGAGTGCGGCGGCCTTCTCGGCAGGGTCGCGGGGGAAGAAGGTGTCACGGAGGCGGTACAGCTCTTCCGCCGCGTTCGCCGCGTCCGCTAGAGGCGTCCTGTCCCCTCCCTCAGCCTCGGGCGGGGTCGGAGCGGAGCTCGTGCACGCGCCGGTTAGCAGATTCTGGGTGGACATGGATCTGAGGCAGGACAGGGACAGCCGAGATGGGGAGGCAGGAGGGGACGGAAAGACGGGGGGAAAAAATTGGATGCAGTCCCCTGTACCGACGCAGTGGGCAGACTCCCAGTCATACGTTTTAGGTTTTTTTTTTTAGAGAGAGAGAGAGAGAGGGGGAGAGTGCGAGTAAAAGAGGCGTATGGGATGTTTAATATTAATAAAAAATAAATTATAGAATCCATCAGTAATTTATAACATAAATTTATTAAACCTAATTAATCTGTCATTAACACATGTTTATTGTAGCACCACATTATCAAATCATGAACTAATTAGGTTTAAAAATTTCATGTCACAAATTAATTTTAATCTGTGTATTTAGTTTCGTAATTAGTCTATATTTAACACTACATGCATGTGTCAAACATCCGATGGGACAGCTACTAAAATTTAAGAGGTGGAACAAAGACCCCCTTACACGCGTCTACCCGTCCCACAAGAGCCGGTGGCTGCTAGGCACATCGGCTTGCTCCCTTGGCTCTCGATCTGGCTTGGCTGTCTCCAACAACGAGATCTAAACCTAAAATGGGTCTCCAACAGAATATATATAGCATCCAATAGAGTACCTATATGGAATACTTATTTTAGGTGTTAGAAAAAGTATAACCCAAATTTGAGTATCCTCTCTCCTGGAGACCCATTTACAGAAAAGAGTTCTCTTTTAGGTCTTGTTATTGAAGAAGACCAAAAATAGGTATTAAACCATTTGTCTGTAGCGCTATCTTAATATGGAATGGGTCTTGTATATTGGGTAACGGTTGTTGAAGACAGTCTTATAAAGTCATAGACCACAAAGCGTATTATCGCCGCAAAGCGTATTACCCCGCCCAAATGACGCAAGAATAGCCTGCGACGCCAACATCGTTACTATATGAGCGCCCTCAATGACGCTTGACGAGAATCAAACATAGGGGTATGCCAAGTCCCTGCGAGAAAGACTCGTAACCGAGTGACCCTCAACCGACACCTTCAGGATCGCTCAGGGGCTCGGCGGCTATATCCATCGGGTACGCTCACGCGTACCCTTTAGCTAAGGATCAAGCAGAGGACGAGCACACCCTTGGCCTCTGCTCAGGGCTCGGGGGCTCGCTAGAGCCTTGGGCGCCCAACCGACGACACACTCGAGCCTTATCCCTCGACCCCAGGGCGAGCCAGTGCCCGGGCAGGAATCCTACATCCTGGGTGATAACCAACCCGCCGAGCATCCAAGGCTCGGGGGCTTCCCTAGTGCCACCCCGACCGACGGGCACACGGCACCCGCCCCTCGACAGAGTCACACAGGCGGTGTGACATAGGAGAACAAAACCCTCCACCGACTCTAGGGGCACGGGGCTCCCGGGCCTGCTCGTTAGCCTTCCAAGCCAAGCGCCTTTTGATGTAGACAAGGCCCGATCTTCCGATATGTAAGATCACATTGATTGGTGGAGACTCGACGTTCACGATCTAGGCTTCTAACCAAGACTGATTTGGACCCCCATAACCGTTACACCACTGCTCCATTGGTTATCAATCACGCGTAACGCGATTGACCTCGTTGAGAAACAAGCAAATCGAGAACACAAGCAAGAACGGATAAACATAATCTAAAATTGCAAATAAATATAAGGCTTATGAACTAGTATTTATTCGAAAGGTCAAATCGCCACAGGCGAACAAGATCAAGAACTAGGGCCCTGGTTCACAGCAAGCGACATTGACGATATAGTTGCAACAAATGATATCTGTTTTACGAGGAAAACAAGAAAGCAAAAAAAACCAAACCCTAATGAGAGCGGCGATGACTAATTATAGAGTCTTGGTCGCCACCCCATGGATGTGCTCCCTAATGGGCTCTAAGATGATACACGGTTCAATGGACTAAAATATAGTGTCACAGCACCCTGGCTATTTGTGGACGCTGACTTATTTCGACGATCTAGTTGACTCAGGAAAATTTTGACGTGAAACCAAATCCATTGGTTAGCTTATCAAATCATCTTTCCAAGGGTATCTAGATCATCGAAAATAGAGTGTGTATGATCCCTAAGCGTTGATTTTACCCGCGCTGCAACTGCTCCTGCAATCTGAGATGGACTCCAACTTCAGTTGGACTGGGTCTCTACCATGATGAAGACTGTTGACGGGCTCTACCGCCAAAATAAACCGTCAATTTTACCTGCTCAAATCCTTAAAATCAAACATCACCATAGGTTTAAAAGCTTTAAACTAACGAATTACACAAGTCTTGGTGAATATTTGCATGTAGGTGAATTTAGCCATTCTATGAGCCAAAATGAGCCAAAATACGTGAAGTAATTTTGATCCACGACAGACTCAATCCAGAAGAGCCCATTGTCATACACATCAAGTATATAAAATGACGTCACCAAATGGGCAATCACGTGAAAACCTACTCAAGATGGAGTATGTACGTATCTGTCAGAAGGAGAGGCCCACCTACCATGAAAGTAGGTCGACCAACCTATGGTGACCCCCGTTCGGTCTCCCCTTTGATGTGGACTCTCCACCGCCGTTGAGGATCAATCTCCACCATGATTAAAGGTCAGTTTGAAGTGGGTTCATCCAACGGTGATCATGGGAGTTGACGCGGATTGATGACGTGGCAATGCCTTGCCCCTACTCCATCTCCCCCTATAAAAGGACCCCTGACCTTCTCTAGAAGACCATCCTAGAGCCATCCTCAAAGATGTTCATCCTTTATCCTTCAGGATCATAGATAGAAATTGAAGAGAAGAGTAGTCCTCTAGTAGGATCTATTCTTTGTATATAATAGTGAGTTAGAGAGTGAGGGAAGAGTTTGAAGGAAGTATTGGCTTGTTGGTGCTACTTCTACAACTTGTACCTTGGTGGATGTGGGTTCTTCAAGCCTGCATTCAAGATAACTCTGGTAGTTGATTTTTTATTTAAAGTAGTTTTGTGTTTTGGTGTTTATCAAGATCACAACTCGTTTGAGTGCTTTTATCCTTACTAGTAGGAGTAAAAGTAGTAATCGTTAGTGTAAGCATGGTGCTTAGACTCTTGGTTACTTATGGATGCACCCTATAGGCCGGAACGTATGGTAGACCAAGTAGAGTGATAGCTACGAGGTTCTCTGTAATCCACCTCCTATTTGTAGGACTAGTAGGACCCAGTTGCGAAGGAAGAGGCATATTTAGCTATACTCTTCATTAGCGATGTCCCTTGGTGAACACTAGAATACAACGCTAACTTAAGTTAGAAGTTAAAAGCCTTATAAGTCCTCTCTACAATCCTATTTATCCTTAACCTTATTGCTATCCTTAGTTAAGTTAGACTATAGTTAATCTCATATGTTTTCCTGTGGATACGTTACTTCGAATACTCTGGGTGAAAAGCTACTATGATATCCATGCGCTTGCAAATCTTTTCTACGTGCACCCATAGGTGCCAAAAAGCTTTTCTGACGTCATTGTCGGGGAAACGGTTGCTGTGTTAACTACAAACCTAGCTTAACTTTGTATCTTTTTATTTTGTTGTAGCATGGATAACACATCTATATATCAATATGTTGCACCTACGAGCACAAGCCTAGAGCTACCAAAATCTTTAAAGCATATCCTAACACCCGGCTATGAGCTGTGTCCGTGTTTAATAAAAATGATTCGGGAACAATCCTTCTCGGGAGAAGGTGATAAAAACGCATACTTACACCTACTAGAATTTGAACAGACTTGTGCATACTTGCATATCACTGGCAGGCTGACGAGACCTTAAGGTGGAAGTTATTTCCGTTCTCTTTGACGGGAATAGCTAAACATTGGTATAGACAAACCGTAGAAAGTATGCAAGGAGATTAGAAAACCTTATGTTCTAAATTTTGCTTATCTTCCTTTCCCATCTCTAGGGTAGTTAGCCTTTGAATAAAAGTTTTAACTTTTAAACAAAAAGAAAAAGAATATCTAGGTGCATCATGGACACGTTTTAATAGCTTAATAACCACTGGTCCAGACCTTGCTATTTTAGACCCGATGCTTCTTCAATATTTTTATATGGGTCTTAGTAGGGAAATCGTGCGATTTCTTAATAATGCTTCAGGAGGTTCGTTTTTGCATATATCTGCTAGTAACAGGAGGAACATTCTTGGTAAAACTTTAGAGAACACCCCTTACACTAGCGAACACGATGAATTCCATGAAGATGTAGAAGAGATGCTACCCGAGATAGAACCTCAAATAGTTGAGCTTGAACCCAAGCATGTACAAAGTCCAATACAAATCTCAACTATCCCAACTCCCAAACCATCAAAGGAGGAAGAAACTCCACTTACGGATTTCATGCTGGAAATCGAGGATGACATTTTTAATGCTGATTTCGGAAACACCTTAAACTTCCAGCTACATAAGAGACCTTCTAGAGAACACATTTCAAATCCTCTCAAGGAAGAATCTTTTAGAAAGCCTCCTTATTCGCATGTAGGACATCAGGAAGAATTCAAGGATGACATGTCTAGTGAACCTATAGGAGAACCAAGCCATTTAGAAGCCATTCCTATCCTCTCCCCTTCTATGCCCACATTAGATGTCTTATCCGAACCCATCTCTAAACCTATCCTTGACCCTAATGATCCCTCTTATGCTTTTTCTCCTAAGTCTCATGATGATCCTAGAAATCCACTGTTGGCGGTGCTTAACTCATATTTTCACCCACCAACGTTACACAAAATCCATACAAACAAGCACCAAAACTTAGTAAATAGGGTTTTACACTGACATATTCCATAAGTTTTGGTGAGTTGATCATTTTCAAGACATACACATGGAATACATAGGAAAACACATAAAAAGGCGCAAACCAGAAAAAGCGTAACGCCATCTTGCGCAAAGTAAAAGAGGGAAAATGCCTACCTACCTGATACAACTAGGCCCCAAACCCACAAAGGCGCAACCCAGGACCAACAGGCAACCTACCAGAGTAAGGCGGTCGTGGGGCGGCTCCACCTA